CTTCCCTCCCACGCATCTCTCCCGTGTGTCTCGTTAACTATGCGGGATCAATTTCGCCGCTGCGACATTGAAGGAGGGGGCGGGATCGAAATCGGCGGGGCACGGCGGAGCCGTCGCATTTATCGGGGTTACATCGGGAGTGCATTTCGCGAAAAAGAGGAGCGCGCCGATTACCCATTAATTACCTTCCGGGTGGCCGAGGCGGTTTTTGCCGATATTCGCTCTGGCGGCGAAGCCCGGCCCCGGCCAAGCAGCGGCCATCTGCATAGCCGGTTAAACGAATGAAAACTGTACTCCTCTAATTGCACGCCGGGTGGGCCCCTCGATCGCATAACCCGCCGAATATCGACGCTTCGACCCCCTCCGTGCGCGCGCTCCCTCGTTCTCGCCCCTCTCTCTCTCTCGTCCCGGCTCTCCTGGGGACTACGGGGATCCACTGTCGATGGATCGCCGTTGTGGAGTTTGATTTTGTGTCAATATTCATAAGAGTGTGCGCGCGTCGCTACGCCGACCGGGTAGGGGGAGAGGGAACGTCGTTAAAACGCCCATGAAATTATCAGGGGGCACGTTGTAATTACTTTGAGATCTTATTGCAGCGCCCGGGACCGCGTAAACGACGTGCCGCGATGACACGTTCTCGAGCGGACTCGATTCCGCGCACCTCGCGTCAGATTTCCCGTGAGAGATTCGAACGCGCCATACCGGCGAATATCTTTTTTTTCTACTCTCTCTAGAGAATGCGCGCCAATTGCCACTCGTTGTAATCTGACTTAAATTTTATATGCGTTAATATGTGTTGAGCATTAATCGATGAAAATTCAAAATAATGGATCCAATATGCCGACTAAAATTTTATTTTTAAAATTCAGTATTGAAAAAAACGATCTCAAAAATACATTTCAAAATTTTCGCAAAACATTTCTTTCAATTCTAGATCAGCTATATTATTTCTGCCATCTTAAATTTTGAAGTTAACTATCGAGTAAAGCGAGAACTTTTAAATACCCAATTTTAGAAATATTGAACCATCACAAATATCACAACGCAATACTGCGTTTCTGCTAATTTTGGCTACTTTCTGTGAATGCAATATTGCGGTTCCGCTAGTCAAGAGGTTAAAGTCGTAAGCATTATATTAAATATTAATAAACTTTAGGTGTATAAGCGAGACCGAAAGAATCGCTAATTATGCGCGGCAGCAATTAGTATGAAATCACGGCGCAGTGGCATTTTACGAACGCGATGAACTCTCGACTTCATCACGCTTCATATCGCACAGGTGGGGGGCGAGCACTCAAAATTTTGCCAGATGACTTATGAGACGTCTCACCGTTCCGGATATTAAAAGGCGCCGTCGTCTTTTATACGCGTCGGTGTTTTATATTTACGCTTCTCAATATTTATTCAAAGTATTACGTGAGAAGACAGTTAACAATAATTTAAGTGCGCTCACACAAGTATGCTCTGTCATTAAGGCAAATCGAACGTTTTACAAGCGGCACCCCCCGCACGAGCCTACTTAATTAAAAGTGCGGGATTCATGCGGAGCTTTAGGCTTTAGCCTCATCCAGACGAGGCGTTTCTGCCGCACACTGTCACTAGGAGAGATGCACGTTGTCTGCTTGGTGACGTATACTTGCAAATACGTCAAATTAGATCATTTATCATCATAGATGTGAAAGAAGCAATATATCTTTGGCTTCGACTGTCGATATATCGAACACCGATATATTATCTATCTACACAAATGCATACTTCAATTCTGGTCTAATCATCATGACGCTGTTCACATGTGACTTGTAATTTTTGACATATACTTTGAAATTATTTCCACTATAGGACTATAAAATATCATCTACTAACCGGAAAATAGCGATAATAATAAACATAATATACATCACTTATTCGGAAAACAGCGCAGGAAATAATGCTTTATTAAACACCTGGAGTTATGTTTTGACAGAAAAAAAGAAAGAAAAAGAAAGAGAAAAATGCATACTTTACATGGAATTTTACAATAACGTTCGTAGCACTTTTCGCTTCTTTTATGAAAGGCCTGATCGTTTACGTTAGTATTCAAGAGGCTTCGTTCAAAGTTAGTATTAATTTTGTTTTAAATCCGTGCGTCTCGAATTTTGGGTAATTATGGGATTTTGCGATCGAAAATCGTCGTGCGGTGCACATATATTATTTTTTATTTTTTGTCTAGAAATCTCCTTCATTTTCTCAAAAGTTCCTCTAGCACTCTTGGCAGAACCATTAAAAAGCAAGACGGTATCAAAGGGTTAAGTCTCCCCAAGGGGACTTCGTTTCCTGCTATTGCGCCGGATAAATCGCTTCATAAAAGCGTGTTCTGGTAATTGATTCTTAGTCACTCGACCCAATGATCTTTAACGAATCGCGATGAAAACCGCGCGCGCGCGAGTCGGCACGTGCCCGTCCGTGAACGGCGCCGTCAATCGTGAAAAGCGTCACGTTGGCGGTCGCGTTGCTTCATCTCGCTGGCGCGGTCAACGAGGTGGCACAGGCCGTGCGAAAGTCGTCCTACTTTCGAGTGTTCTTGACACAATGTCCACTACCTCGGGTTTCATCTCGGCAACCGGTTGCTTCCGTTACTTCCGGAAACAAACGGCGAGATCCGAGCCACTTTGATTCAACGGTTAGCTCCGCGATAGTCTCGCCTTCTTACGCGCGCATCCAAACGTGTTCCGTGTTCGGTATCGAAAGGTCGCAACTCCACGCATCCAGATCTTCGGAGAATCAGAAGGCATCTCATTTGAAAATGTCACTTTCTCCTTGCGAAAACATGTTAACCCATTTACATCGTTAGATTTGAAAAACATGCTTATCAGAATTCTCCTTTTACTTAGAAATAGACATCGAATGTGATAAAACAAGTTGAAAACACAGGATTTTTGTGACTGAATGATTTCTACAGCACGTCTTCAGTAAGACTCAGTACACCGAGAGAAGAAATATTTAAAGAACAAAAAATACTTATTCGATGGATGCTAATAACATATTTATTTGTAGTAATATACTTATTTTTATATCGAGAAAAGGTCATTTTTAAATAAGAAAATGTATATTCTCCTAAAATCGTTGCTTTTCATAAAAGCAATTGTTTATTCTATTTAAACAAAAGAAATTAGTTTAAAACAAATATCTTTTTACCTTTTAGATATTTTTTCTCTCAGTGCTCGAGAAGTATCTTCAGTTAGAACTATCTCCAGTGAGAAATCGTGATTGTCAGTGATAATATTCATGCGAAGTAAACAGGTAAATCCGCTTCTGATGCAAATGGGTTGAGTTATCGCGGAGCTTTATGGACGAAATCAAATGAGAAAGTATACATTTCCCTAAAAAATTTTCCGAAAAATCGCTGCTCTCTATGAAAGCAATTGTTTATTCTATTTAAACAAAAGAAATTAGTAAACTATATATCATTAAAAATTAGAAACTATATATCAAAGGTCCTGAAAGTATGTACTAAGTGGAGAAAAAAATTAGACCTAGAGCGAATAAATTTGAATGTGAGGATATCTGACAGTATTAGATACACGCGCCGATTGTTTTTCCGGACTCCTCAATGTACACGACAAATCCACCTTCTACGTCAAACAGACCCTGAATCGCATTTGTCAATTTTGAACAACAATACAACAATAATGTTGAAAATCTAGAAAGATATTCGACGCGCGCATCTAACACTGTTAAACATCATTATCCTTCTGTTCGATCTTATTCGCACTAACATCCAGCGCACGACACTTGTAGGCCCTTATCTTCCTCTCAGGAAAAATTAAGTGCGAGCAAATACGTTCCTAGTGCCCCCACCGGACAAATATGTGTTTTACTTTTTAAATATTTTTTCTCTCACAGGATAAGAGTCATCTTCAGTAAGAAACACCTTCAGCGAGAAATCGCGACTGTCCATTTCCGCGATAACGTCCATGCGAAATGAACAGATAAATCCGCTTCTGATGCAAATGAGCGGGGTTAGCACGCCAAAGTTTCACGAACGGAACTTTCGGCAAAGAGAAAAACAACCAATTTCTTGAGTCCTCCTGCCGGTAGCGGCCGATTCCGCCGTGAGTACCGCGACTCTCGAGCGCGTCGCTTACGAGCGACGTGCACCGGAATCAGGAAGCGCTTCTTCTCTCCCTCGCAGCCGCTCGCGCGCGACGAGGACGGCCGATGGACGATCGCTTGGAGGAGCGCGATCGTTGCTGGCCGGAGAAAGAGAGATCGTCGTGCAAGAGTGGCTAGGAGGAGGGTCGGTTGCTGGAGGATGAGAGAGGGAGCGAACGGCGGCACGCCGGTGTGAGGAGGAGGATTTCCTCGTGTTCTCTGGCTGAAGCGCGCGCGCGCGCACACACGCGAGCGAGCGAGACGACGAGAGGTCGGAAGAGCGAGGAGGAAACGCCGCGAGGACGAGGACGGAGCGGCGGAGCGCCGCCGCCGCCGCCGCCGTGTCGTAGGCTCGAGTTGTGTGCTCGCAGCCACAAACTACCCGACCACCACGCAGCACGGATCCACCACGAAACCACCTTGCTCAGTCTCTCCTCTCGTCTTACTCTCGCGTGCGGCCTGATCAACTCGCCCTGTTGCACCACCACCACCTGCCGCCGCCGTTATCCTCCAGGACTCCGACGTACTGTGTCCTGGTCCCTGGAGACGCACCACCGGTCCTTCGCGCGTCAGGCCGTCTCTTCTGAGGGCAGCAGGACTCAGGGATCGATCGGCCGGGTAGATCTCCGTGGAGACATGGCAAGAGACAGGAAGAACGAGAGACCTCGGCTGAGACCATGACTGAATGAACGTCGCCACGTTACCGTCGATGGTGTCGTTCGGAGCGCGCCAAGAGGAAATGAACGGACTCGGAACAGGAGACTCGTTTCCGATTCGAACGGGAGTAAAAGCGCGAGAGTTCTGAGAGAGCTCGCCGGGAATGCCGACACCGAGTTCGTGGCGTTGCGACATTCGATAGAGTAGTTAGCAGAAGTGGCTAATCACGGCGGCTCGCCTCGATTTTTAATGGAGCTTGTAAGAGCTAATCGCCCACCTGATCGTCGTCTTCTTCCAGCGGGAAGAGAAGTATGCAAATAAAATGAGAGGGCATTCGGAGAAGCGCGCCTTGCAAAATATTTATTAGAGGAGTTGAAGAGAGGCAAAAAAAGAGAGAGAGAGAGAGAGAGAGAGAGAGAGAGAGAGAGACGCGAGAGACGGTGGTTATACCTCGGGAATGAGGATTCCGAACTTGGCGCGAGTCGCACTACGAATTTTCACGCGCTATGGTCCTAAGCTGCTAGCCGCGGGGAGTGACGATCTGGGCCCACCTAGATGCGAATAATCGCGGAGGCAAGAGGAGAAGAGACAGAGAGCATCTCTTATGCGGACAAGTGGCACCTGTTACCCGTCGCCACGTCGGTCGGTCTTCAACGGGATTCTCTCCCCCTCGCACAATCGCGCTCGAACCCCCGATTATGTCAACCGAACGTGGCTTCGTCACGCGAGCAACGTGCAAGCAGCCCCGCTGTCGCAATTGGACATTCGCCCAGCGAGCAGTGCAACGTACGAGGAGCGTGGATCACTCGTGATTCGCGAATTCTATCGTCGCGCAGACACTGAACCGAACGTTCCACGAGGTCGCGGAGTTCGCGATGTGAATGCGGAATTGTTTTTCCCGTGGCGTCACGCGCGCTCGCTCGCACGTTCGCGTGCGCGCTCGAACACCGTTAATTGACGTGTAAATGACGGCGTAAATGACAACAACGGCCAACGATCTGGCGGAAAAATTGGTGACACGCAACAGTGAATTGAATTCGCGAATTGATGCGCGGCGCGCAGCTGTCTGAGTACCCTCCCAGCCCCGAAGAATAATAACGCAACAGGCCGCGCATTATCGTCCCTGACGAACGTCGTCCACGTGCTGGCAAGTTCATCGATCATCTGGCTGCAGCGCCTAAGACCGCCGATGAAACTCACCGCATGGCCTGCCGCATCCAGCTGACATTTAACAGGTTAGTGCTCTCTAGTATTATCTCTCTGTCTTAACATCATCGCGTCCCGACGCGTTACATCATGCGAAAATTCTGCAGCTCATCGATTAAGGATCAGATGCAAGCATGAGTCTTCTATAGTTTCAGTAAATACACGGGATAAACGATTTTTTTCCGTTGGTGTAACCGAATTTGACCGGTAAGAATAGGAAAGCTCGGTTGCAGGAACAGAAAAAACCCTGCGATTTCTGCACGAAGAGAATTTTATAGTAAACATTGCTGTAGAATTTTGTAACAGAGGAATAAATCGACTGAATCGACTGTAATTGACTGTCCTCTCATTTGGCAATAATTGGATTGAGAATGAGATTTTTTATGTGTGATATTTACATCTTAGGAATTGAAATGTGCTGTTAAAAAATTTACTATGTTTCTAGTAAAATTTACTGTATTCCTTAGCAGAATAGACCTTATTAACAGTCTATTCTTGCGCTACTAAAAACATTATAAAATTGAAAAGAATTTATGTGAAAAATAGGGAAACTATAATATTTTTCCGTGTACTCAGTCAATTATTCTTAGTTATTGCAATCAAATTATAATCAGTACAGCTGAATGTCCAGAGACAAATGTTTCCAGTTGCGGTAACAAAAATATCATTTTTTGTCACTGAATTTTTATCCCTATTCAATATTGCACGAACTGAGATTTTATTTTGTGTACGAGTGTAACACGAAGAAGATGAAAAAAAACTATTTTTTCATTACTTATTCGACCCATTTGACAGATCATCTGATTACTCAAGTTCTAGCAATCGTTCACTAATTTTTAACATCAGAATTACTGACTAAAGTGGTCAAAATAGTCGGCTTACAATTTCTTAAAAAATTAATTGAAGTCAGAACGGCGCGTTTTATATTTTTAATTGACATTGAATAAAATTTTAAAAAATAAGTACGTTTCCTTCCTCGTATTATGTATCTGTTTTTCTTCGAAAACCTGTTTTTAATCGCTCTGGTATAAGCAGTCAATCACCGGTAGTTATAGTGTCAAGAACTCCACGTTTGTGTCTATTGAGATTTTCAAACCATCTGTTTATTTTTCAACCATCTTATAATCTTTTCGATAATAATGCTATTTGGTTGTCAGGTTTTCGTACGTTGAGTCGTGTCTATGTTAAGAATAAAGACATTCAAGAGAAATATTTCATTGGGATACCGCGATTGTTCGAGGAAAATGGATAAGGATCTATGTGAGTCACCGGCTTACAGTGCGATGTCGACGCTTGAAAAATTAATAAGTCAAAGAGCCTTTTATCTCGTTTCCTTCCCACAATTCCCCCGAGCCGTCATTCAACTCGTTACTTAAAATTACAACGACCACGGGAGAATCGGTCTTTTGCATATACGACAAGCTGCCAACGATAATTAAGTCTTGCCAACAGCAGCTGCCCCATCAAAAGCTGACGGATGCGATCATCCTCAATTACGATAAAGCTATCCATCATCCCGAAATATCGCGTGTACTCATTATTCCGTATCACTCGGCGAAATTTTGAGTATCGTTTCGGCGATTTGTTACGAAACGACCGTCGATTCCGGTTGGTATCCCGTTTCAAGGCTGAAGCGTCGCGAGAAATAATAACAGTACCCCCCTCCCCCCTTTCAGTTACTTAATTAGAAGAATTCCTATCGAAAAAAAAAAAAAATCAGTAATCTCACGAGATCTCAACGAATAATTCATCTAGCCAAGCAATTAAGGTATTGATAATAATTACTTAAAATTTTTCTCACATGAGATACTCAGGTCTGAATACAAAATCAGATCTGAATATTTTGATTGAATTATATGATACATGTAATAATAAGTACACTTGTAAACTCAACTAAAAGACTCGCATATAACTCTACATTGCAATCTAAATACTTCACTTTGGATCAGTTTCAAGTAACAAGTTCAGTTGTCACTTGAAACTTGTCCCATGTGAGATATTCAGATTTTCCTTCATAATTAGGTTCAAAATTTTCAGGTGAATTACAGTATATGTAGCATTTATATCTGTGATTGCGATTTAAATGAAACTCTCGTCTGATTCAGAATTCAGATCTGAGTACTTCGTTTGAGACGAGTTTCAAGTAATAATAATTAATGCGAACTTCAGAACCTTATTCAGAGCTAGATATAAGTTTCTCAGTTGAATTACATGATACATGCGACATTTGTGTCTGCAATTCGAATCTTTATTTAACTCTGAATTCAAATTTAAATATCTGAAACGAGTTTCAAGTAATGACAACGAATATGGGCCTAAATTACTTCGATATTTGTCGCGAACTTATATATTATTCGCGCAAACTTATACATTAGTCGTCGCGACTATTAAAAGCTGTCTCGGGACACGACCTGCTTGAGGATAGCAGAAGCGGCCTTGCAAGGTCACGTATAGAGCCTCGACTCGCCGTACACACGCGCACACAGCCGCCTTATTCCCGTAGAATAAGACGAGCATGAGTCTCGATGCACGTCGCGGCAGCCCGAGAACGAGAACCCGCTCTCCGGGTGATCCCACCTGAGGAGTGACTCGTTCCTGTCTTCATCTAATAGAACGAACAGATGCGCACGTCTGAGCGCCACGCCTCGATGCTCCAGTTCCCTTGATCTCGGCTTGCTTTTCCCGCCTCTCTCGATCGTTTTCTGTCGCCGGCGAGATTCTCAAACCCGCCCGCTGAATCTATAGGCGCCGACTTCACAAGCGGAAAACGCAATTATCGAGACTGAAAGTCTACACCTGCGACCAGCCGGCCGGCTGATCGATTTCCACCGGCTGGCCCATCACGTCCCATTTAATTCTATCGTTAGGTTCGGCCGAATTTAATTGTGTGTTACATACGGTATCGTGCGATACCTTCTCGAAGAATCGATCAGACCGCCGTGCAGATTCACGAGCTGCGGCATGAACGGTAATTCTCCGACACTTTGTGCACACGATAAGATCTGCGATCCATTATGAAATTTGTAACGCGGTAATTTCGCCCGGTCCCGTGTATTTATTTGAACACGCACAAGCCCCGAAATTACCCTCGTTTGGCTCCGTGCGGGCCCGCACGCACGCACTCACGCACGCACAGGCTCCTCTCTCACGTTCCCCTCTTTTCGCGCATCCGTGCTCCCGTGTATAAAATATTTAAACGCCGAGGTTGCGCGCAGAGACGAGCGGCGATTTGCCGCGAAAAATGTTAATCGGCCGGCGGGAGATCCGTAAACGCGGCCGAAAACTGTGTTAAAAACAGTCGATATCGCGCCGGCAGAGAGCGCGATCGAAGATGACGGCCAAGTTTCGGCCTGATTTCGGAGAATAACGATAGCTTTCTTTTATATACGATTAAAATTCACATCGAGTCGATTCCAAAAATATAACTTTTGAGAAAAATGACGCAAAAGAGTCCCGATTTCAACAGATGATGCCATGTAAGCGAAGACAAAAATCAGCCGGCAGTGGCAGCTAATCTAATTGCATATGACATGCACCACATGTCTATTGTTTGCCGTTAAACAACACTAATCAACAAAACTTGTCAATGAAATCTTATTGGCGACAATTAATTGTCACACGGCGAATAACAAGTCGGAAATCGCCAGTGCAGAACGATAAGAGGTTCAGATCAGAGAGTTACATGTTTGGAATCGACTCGACGTGAGCTTTAACAAGTTTTATGCAAAACAGATCGTCATTATGAAGGACTCTCAAAATCAGGGGAAACGTCTATGGGCGTTTGGCTGCACTCTTTCGGGCTGTGAACTGCATTGAAAAGAATCTCGTTAAAATCGCCAGCTGCCACGGCTTTCTGTGGATCCGTAGAACTTTTTTCCCGTCGTTCTGTTGCCAATCTCCGCGGCTCCGCTTTGCGTCGCGTCCCCCTCCCCCCTCTCTCTCTCTCTTTCTCTCTCTCTGCCCACCTTTAATTTTAATGCTGGCCGCGCGTCACGTCTCGACGACTGCCCACCTCGTAAATACATCGCTGTCGCCGTTTCTCGTGTCGACTAAATCATCCGAGAACGCGTAATCGCACAGCGAGCGATTCGAGGCCCACACCTCATTAGAGGTGCGCCTTCGGCGTGTTCTTCGTGTCATTCCTCGCCAAGAATCGATTTTCTTACACGGCGGCGCGCATTCTTCGCGCTTGCGGCTTGGCATGAGCTTGTAAGCGCCGAGGCGAATTGCCGCGGCTCGCGTTGGCAGTGCAGTGCGAATAATTTGCTGGTGGTTTCCTCCGCCGTCTCGCGATCCTGATCATGACGTCGCCAAGCGCGTCAGTATATATTTCCCGAATATATTTCACGGCTATCTCGTGGGAATCCGCGCGGCTGAAGGTATCGCGAACTCGATTTGCCGACGCAATGGAGTACAACTCGCACATTCCGCAGTTTCCATTTTCTCGCGCGGCGCGCTCCGCTGCTCACGGCACAATATAATGATATATATGATACGCTTAACACAGTGTGTAATGAGCAATTTCGGATTTTCCATGTAAAATCAAATGATTATATTTTTATGTCGTAATTGTATGAAATAATGCATATGTCACTGTTATACTCTGCCATCATTTGCACGCAATGCATCATAAACTATCTCAATATAAAATTGTAATTGTTTCATTTTATCTGAATGGAACAATGTATGCAAAGAATGGCAGAGGATCATACACTGAGAGAAAGAAATACTTAAAAATTAAAAAATGTTTATTCATCACGTATTAATAACATTTGCTTAAACATAAATTATTTTGTTTAGGCAAAATAAACAACTGCTTTCATGAAAACATAAGCTTTTAAGAAAATATTTTCTTAATTGAGGAATATTTTATATTAATATAAGTAAATATGTCATTAGTGCTCATGGAGTTTTTTATTTCTTAGATATATTTTTTCTCTTAGTGTAGATCAAAACGTATATATTGTTTCATGAGATCATAACGGCATAAGAATATAATTATTTCATATTATTGTTTATATTTATCATA